GGCTAGGAATGAGGGCGCCGGAGTAACGGGGTTATGGTTTGTTGGTGGTGGAGGAGGAGGGGGGATGGGGGAGGAGGGGGTGAGGAAGGGGTTATGGTGTAGGAGGGGGGGGGGAAGGTTGGTTAACGAGTGAGGTCTGACTGACGTCTTCTTCAACTTGATGTGTGTGTGTGTGTGTGTGTGTGTGTGTGTGTGTGTGTGAGGTGACTGAACACTTGTCGTGTCTTGTGTCCACAGTCAGGAATGTACGAAACACGTCCTCAGTATTTTCTGTCATTTGTTTGTTATTCTATCCTTCTTCCTCCGTCGCTCCTTCATTCTCATCATCATCTTCTCTTCCTCCTCTTCTTCTTCTTCCTCGCTCCTCCTCTTCCTCCTCTTCTACGTCTTCCTGCGTCCTCCAGATGTTATCTAGGAACGTGAGGCGAGGGAACCACGTTGCTATATTGCATTTTTCCGTCACATTTTCTCACGCTCGCCACGCTCGCCACTCTCGCCAATGAGCTTCAATTTGTAGCGTGGAGGAGGTGCCGACGCCCATACACGCCTGCAGTAGAGCCTGGCAGCGTAAGAACGAGGATAAATATACACGAAAATTAACTACAGTAACGTGTGTGTGTTACAACTTTGCGGGGGGAAGTTTTTTCCCTCACTCTCCTCCCTCTCCCGCCTCTTACTTATCCTCCCACCTCCTGCTCCTACTCCTCCTCCTTCCTCTCCTACTCGTGTCAAGACCTAACTGAATTACTCAGAATAGGCAAACTGTACTCCAAGCTTTGTCAATAAATTTGTTTACCATTAAAAACTACTCCATTCTTTCATTTCGCTATCCTCTCCTCTCCTCATCCTTACCTCCTCCCTACATCTCCTCTTTTCCCCCATCCCTCCCCCTACTACCACTCCATCATCCTTGACCCTCCTCCTCCTCCTCCTCCTCTCTTCCCTTCCCCTCACCCCCTCCCACCTCCTCTTTGCTGCCTTGATCGCTCGCTAAAGCCTGTGGAGTGTTTGTTTGTTTTTGCATTCATCTGCTGGTCTGAGCGATTTCTTCTATACTTAGTTACTAGTCTCTCTCACTCACTCTCTGTTTCTCTCCCCCTCTCTCTCTTACACTCCCCTCTCCCTCTCTCATCAATCATGCGGTTATCACAGGTGCTCAAACCCGGAGTAACTCGAACCATTTTGCATTAGCAGTGAAAGACTAACGATGAGGAAGATGTATCATCCTAACTCTCTCTCTCTCTCTCTCTCTCTCACACACATTCAAATGACCTCCTTCCCGTCTCTTACAACACACGATCGATTGCCACATCCTATTTAAAATGGAAATGAACTTGTACTGTGCCCTGTAAAGGAAATAATGATATCGTCTGTTTTTGTTATCGATGGGTGGTGTGCCCGGAGGCTATCACACACACACACACACACACACACACACACACACACACACACAGACACACACACACACACACACATACACACACACACACACATGGGGGGTAGGAGTAGTTGTGATCACCAGCTGAAACAGTCTGAAAGAGGTCACTGTGGTAGAGAGATAGACGGTACAGGACGGGTGTTGAGGAGCGGCGTAAAAAGAAAACATTAGTTGTTTTTATGTGAGCGATGGAAGTGTAGCGCGGGTGTAATTTGCCTGCATCCTTTGAAACCTAATTGTGCATACTAGGCCTGAGTATGCCTGCGTAACTTCCTCAACAGCTGTGAACGTCCCAAGATGCATTTTCTGACCAACAGTGTCTGTGTCATGAGGGGGTGAATACAGGTCCTCAGTATATATAAATGTGCGTGTTATTAGCAGATGTTTACCAGTGCTCAGTGCGTGGTCGTGTGCGCGTGTCACCAACAGCGGAGTGGAAAAGAGACATAACTGTCGTGTAAAAGAGTGATGTGAGGCAGTAGTGATGACCATGTGATGCTGCTGCTGAGCTGGGCTGTATTTGTGGGATTATAGATGGCTCAACATATTCCTGGATGTGTAAATATATAAATCAGTAGATTGATCGATAATTATTATTATTATTATTTTTTTATATTATTATTATTATTATTATTATTATTATTATTATTATTGTTATTATTATTAATAGTACTATTATTATTATTATTATTATTATCATTCTTTATTTATTTATTTATTATTATTATTATTATTATTATTTATTTGTTTATTTGTTTATTATTATTATTTATTTATATATTTATTTATTATTATTATTATTATTATTATTATTATTATTATTATTATTATTATTATTATCATTATCATTATCATTATCATTATTATTATTATTATTATTATTATTACTATTAGTAGTAGTAGTATTAAACACACAAACATAAACACAGGCACAAAGAGAGAAAGATAGAACCAGGGAGAGAGGGAAAGAGAAACTAACATTTTAGCGCTTAATGCAGTAGGGGAGTGTGAGCGTAGGGTACCAATAACTAAAAAAATGTATGTCATATCGTCAAATTAGTTGGCCGATTGCAAATGATCTTATTTCATTCAACGACGTGAGAGAAAGAGATTATTTGAGTGTGTAAATACTGTATTTCTGTGTGTGTGTGTATGTGTGTATCTGTGTATTTATGTGTGTGTGTGTAGTGAGAGAGAGAGAGAAAGAGAGAGAGAGAGAGAGAGAGAGAGAGAGAGAGAGAGAGAGAGAGAGAGAGAGGATGAACGAAAAACTCAGCTGTGAACGAAATGCAGTGATCACCCACGAGACGCCTCTGGTGGCCGCTTTATGGACAGTCTCGGATGCTTCTGTCAGCTCAACAGTTTGTTTCTTTACACTTCACTCGGATAAAAAAAACAGTCTTGTCAGTCACAGTATTTACCTCCGAGTTACTCCTCCTCCAGCTACCGTTCCTCACCCCTTTTGGAGACTATCAGAAGAGACTTAGAGATAAAGAAGAGATCTACAATACCCCCCTTACCCCCCTCCATAGAGACAGTAAATCAAGGAGAATAGTTAGATACAGGTAAGAGAATATAGTGATAATTTATACCAAGGTTCAAGTGGCCTGGTTTGAACTGACAGTCAAGACCTGCTTAAGTTGTGGAATATTTTTGACAAGAACAAAACAACAAATAAACGCTTAGCTTGTGAGGCAGTCAAGGGCTCGGTGTGGAATACTTGCCAAGTTTTTTTTTTTTTTTTTTTTTGCTTTTGCACGTTTGTGTGTTTGTTTGCTTGAGTTTTTCTTGTTTGTTTATTATTTTTGTATGTGTTTTGTGTTGTTTATGAGTGAATGTGTGTGTGTATGTTTGAATCCGTGTGTTTCTCTGTATGTTGCAATACATATATACTACTACTACTACTACTAATAGTATTATTACTTGCGTTTGTATGTATGTATGTATGTATGTATGTAAGCGCATCTCTCTAAAAACAAAACATCAAAAAACTTCCACAAACACACACACACACACACACACATGGACAAAACCCATCCCAGTTCTCTCTACGAACACCTGGCGTCGGTATATAGAGGTGACGTATCCTCTCGCGTTTACCTGGCTGGAGTGGGTGACGATTGGCTCAGCGTGGCCAGACATCCTCCGCCCCAGCTGAGGGAAGGAGCGTCATCGACACCTTTTCTTTCCTAATTCTTGGTGGTTTTTGAGGACAATAAAAATGAAGGGAAATGGTGAAGAAAAAATCGCGAAATGGTTTTTAACGTTTAGTGTTGGGTTGACAGTTGGGAGTTTTTTATGTATCTTGTTTGTTTTTTTTTTTTGCTTTTTTATTACTGTTTTTTTATTGATTAAGTGTGTTTAGGTTCTTACATAATTTTGTAACTCGGATTATTATTATTATTTTCATATTATTATTACTATTATTATTATTTTTTTTATTATAATTATTATTATTATTATTATTATTATTATTATTTTTTTTTTATTATTTATTATTATTATTTTTATTATTGTTATTATTATTATTATTATTATTGTTATTATTATTATTGTTATTATTATTATTATTATTATTATTATTATTATTATTATTATTATTATTATTATTATTATTAAAATACTGTTATTAGTTGTACACATCAAGATATTGGATATGCAGATAAAAATTACATTCAGGACCAAGCGGCGATGGTCTCATTAGTCGGAAACAGAACACAGAGTAAAGCACTATACACACATCAAAGAATAATTCCCATAGAAGTAGAGAACAAGCTAACATGAAGCTAATATATTGATCTATGATATATTATGGTGGAATATGGATATAGGAGAATAAGCTCGATATATAAATAAAAAATATATATATTATTACCGTGTATCTATATGCTAGTTTCATAAAATCTCCCCTAAGTATATGTTAGTAAATAATATGATTTTTTTTACAGTATATGCAAATAAGAATTATTTTTCTATGTATTATGTATGTTTGTATAGCTCGAGGAAAGGAAAATTTATGTGTCAGTATATTATATAAGAAAAAATCATATAGTTCCAAAGAAATAATAAAATATAATAGAAAATAAGAATATCTTGTCTACATTATTTTTCCAAGAGATTATACATATTTATTTTACTATTTTAGAAGATATCAAAACAAGTTATTGAGTATATTAAATAGTTTATATGTTTATTTTTTTTATAGAATTAGAGAGTATTTATATTATGTTAGCGAAGGACACCCATATATAAGTGGGGGGGAAGAAATGAGTCTTGCCTTCCTCACCTCACTCCCTCCCTCACTCCCTCCCTTCAAGAGATTAGAGCTCACACGCCTTTACCCTTACCCACCCTTGCACACCCACACGCCCACCCATACATATATATACACATACACACACCCATACCCACACCCACACACACACACATACACACACCCATACCCACACACACACACACACACACACACACACACACACACTCATATACACACTCACATGCACATCCATACCCATTACCTTCGTCAGCAGTTGCAAATGACCACCACTTGGCTCTCTTGCAGCGCACCGGCCGCCCTTCCCCGTCTCCCACGCAGGTAAAGTCCCAAAGCAAAACCGCCTCCTTCAGCGCCTCCCTCAGTTACCCTCTCTCTCTCTCTCTCTCTTCTCGTCCATCATTTTATCTTCTCTCCATATTATATATCAATCTACCTAATTGTCTGTCTATGAATACCTGTTTTCCTTCGGTGTCTTCCTGTCTATCTCTGTCTGTTTCTATTCTTTTCACTATGTATTTGTCTGTTCTCTCCTTATCTGCCTATGTATCTGTCTCTATATCTCGTCCTGTTTGTATTTCTATCTTTCTCTGTCTGCCTCTCTATCTATCTGTCTCTCTTACCCTATTCCTCACTCAAACTTACCTCGCAGGGTAGGGGAGGGGAGGAGGCAATTGTCTGTTTATTTTTTGGTGGTGGGTATTGCATTGAGCTCTGATGATGACATGTTAATGGGGCACCAATATGTCTCCCCATTATAACCCATTTTTACTATGACCATTATATATATTCACCATTTTATAAAAATATTTATAGTATATATCACCATTATTATCACCATCTTGCACTAATGGTTTGTTTAATGGGTTACCTGTGTGTGTGTATGTCTTCCTATTGTTATAACCATTATTACTGTCACCATTTTGATCACTCTCCTGCACCAAGCACAGTTAAGAGGTTTAAGGTGTGTCGATGTTTCTGTTGTTTTTGGAGTATTTTTCCTATCCCCACTATTAACCATTATTATTATTATCATGTAAGGATCAAGGATGTCTGTCATTGTGGATATCCATGCCTGTGATTATCCTCTCCTGTGGTATCTTATCCTAAATTGTTTTTATCCTAAATTTCTCGAAAGATATCACCATGATGTCTAGAAATGTTCAGTGAAATTGGAAGTTTATTTTTATTTATATTATATAGTAATTAATGGCTCACAGTGCGTCTAGTACAAGGAACACTTACTCTTTCAGTGACATTATTTATTCCTATAATCGTATTGATATTTTATTGGTTATTGTAGCTGTAGTTTTATTGTTATAGGGAATTATCTACGTTAATATTTTTGGGTGAATGTGGTTCATTGGTGTTATTATTTTTTTTCTTCTTATTAATGAAATATCGTAAGAAGTAAATTTATATCGTTACTACGAAATTAAGATATACCGTAGTCAGATTGGGAACAAACACACGGTCATTTTTAACTGCAGGAAATTATATAAAAATTTAAACAGTGTTACTTTAATAATTGTTTACTGTTTTTTATTCACTGCTATTTGACTCACCTTCACTATTACGTCTATGCAGTACTCTTTCTATAATAAACTCTTAAAAAGAATATTACATTAAAATTTCAAAGCTATTTCTATGTAACGTTCTAACCTTAAATACACCTTAGAAAAATATATTAAAACCTCATTACCAATTTTATATAATATTTTGAACTCAATATATCCTAAAAAACAGTTAAAATCTGACTACCACTTTTATATAATATTTTGACCATAATATATACTAAAAAAAGAAAGAAATGAGTTGACGGGAATGGTTGTTGACAGCTTCGTAACGTTGCGTGTTATTTATGAGGAAGAATTTGTTAGCCAGTAGGATAATGTGCACCACCAGCTGTTAAATTGGGATCAACAGGGCTATAAAATTAATCAAGTACAAGGTATAATGTTAAATAAATCAACTCTCGTGCTTGGAAATATAGATGTCTTTACTGAGGTGACGTGAAGAAGGAAGAAAAATATGTTTATGTCGATGAAGAAAATTATTGTATCATAAGAAATCATAACAAAATGATATCAGGACAATAACTGTAACGTAAAGAATGATAAATATATTATACCTGTACTTATACCTGTAATTCGGATTTAATTTGGTTAAAGTGAATTGGGTACATGTTAGTATAGAGGAAAGAAGGATTCGAATCTGTTATACCAAGAAAAAAACTAATTGTTCAAATCTCTGTAGCGTTTTAATCTTACATGCAATCGTTGTAGCGTTTGTGTGTGTGTGTGTGTGTGTTTGTGTGTATGTGCTCACGTGTTGGTAAAATTAATCGTTTATGATATAACATATTGTTAGTGGTATGACTGACAGTCTATGGAAAATATGTTCAATCGTCATATCCACGTAACGCTAACCTCGTTCACTACACCAACCTCGCTCATACTAATTAGGAAACCGGTTGTCGTGTTTTGTACCATAATGTAACAAGCTCATTACAGCCACTCCACATAAAAACACACTCAGACGGTCGAATACGTTACGAGGGTTTTATTGATTTCTCATGAGCCATTAAACCAGTACTCGACACTATCACCAATCAGCCCACATCTGCAAAAGTCCAGCTGATACCACAATAGGGAAAAAAGAACACACTGTAGATTTGAACCCCACCCGAGCGGATATCGACGGGATTGAATGTAGGAGAATGACGCCAAAATTAGGAATATTCAACCAGGAGTCGGGGTATGTCACGGCCAAATCTATTTCCGCGGCTCTGAGTTACGACCCTTGGCCAACTGTTCTCTTGACCCCCAACGCGCGTGTCCGGATGCCTGCGTTGAGGAGGAGGACGTGGGCCGTGTGTACCGTGTAATCTATCCTCTGTTAAACGACGGGAATAACGTAAACTTATATTTAAAATGCTCATTAGAAGCGATAGCGACAAGTTAATCAAAGAAATCCATCAACACCGACAAACGTGAAGGAGATGAGAAAAGGGGAAAACCTGTTCCTACATTAAGGTGTGGAAGCGGAAGCCAGCGCGTAGAGGCCTCGAGGCAGGAAGCGGAACATAATGACCCGATAAGTTCCAAGCGTTACCAGCCAGGGTCCTTAAGTCAACCAGTCAGTCAGTCAGTCAGTCACTCGTACAGTCAGTCGTACAAGCGGTGGGTTGGAAGGGCTAGCATCGTCGGAACACTCATTATAATACGCCTTCCTGTCTCACCGATCATATCAAGCGTAAACTGACGTGGGAATGTGTGAAGACGAGATCATTATACGGAAACTGGAGGATATAATTATCATTATTATTTCTGGAATATTAATGCAGATATGAGGCTCATTAAGCATCGGTATTATGTGTTACTGGTGGCCGCTATCACACACACACACACACACATAGAGGGGGTCAGTAACGGTATTCAATTATGTTCTATTATGGATTGACTGGCCAGTTAATGACAGGGGTTCTTAATGATGGTTTTATGACGCTACTTACGTCTCGTTTGCAATTAAAATATCGTCGTAAATGTCAGAGATACACACGGGGGAAAATGACGAGTTGTAGGTGGATATGTGAGCACCTGGAGGAGCACTCACAGGTACGCCGGAACATTAAGGTGTGATTACCATTCCGTGATGCAGACCAACCGAGACAATTTACACGAGTTTACCTTCAGCAGGAAACAAAAAAAAAATAATAATAATAAAGAAAATAATAATCCCCCTAAAGTCACGGGATATAAATTGTGTTAAATATAGCCAGAAATATTTTAAAGATAACGTGGGAAATGAGAATAAAGTCATTATAGAATAAATTAAGGTGTTTTTCCCAGTAGTTGAAGAGACCTAAGTCGGAATTTAAGAGTGTCTGTGAAGATTTAGATGAAGGGAGAGAATTCGTAAATTGTGATGAATAAGATAATCTGAGGAAAATTATAATGTCATAAACCAAGAAGATGTGTAACTGCAGAAGAAGTAATAATAATAATAATAAAGATAATGATAATATTAAGTGTTATAATGATGACATCAATAATTATGGTATAGGTGAAATAATATATTGATTATAATACAGTAATGGCATCACAATAAAATAATAATAATAATAATGACGAGTGATCAGACAAAACTAAATAATAATAAACTGTACTTCAGAGGTTTTTACAAATATGAGAAGTAATTCAGATTGTTTTTATTTTCATTGAGTATACAAATCATTATTGCGATTTACACACACACACACACACATACAGCAAGTGGCCACCGCCGCAGCTGGCCTTCCACAAACACAACAGCAAGTCACAGGCACAAAGGCTCCCTCACCGCGCACAACACCGCCTCAATACAGCTCTTTGGAGACCCAATTTGTCCTTGGCCAAGACGTCTTCCGTGCGGGTTAGGTTAGTTATGTGGGCTCCCGGCTGTCAGTCTCTCTTCATCGCCCACTTGTTTATTTGGCGTGTACTGGCTGCAAGGCTGATGAGTGGGGAGTTGTTGAATAGGTAGGCTGGGAGCGGTAGTGGTTTTGGGTGTGTCGGGAATGGGCGGAGGAGGGGTAGTGGGGTGATGTAATGTCTCCAGTAGGTTGGGGGGACGGTGGTGTGTGTTTATGTGTGTGTGTGTGTGTGTGTGTGTGTGTGTGTGTGTGTGTGTGTGTTGGTGTAGTTCTATTCCTCTCAATTATTTTTTTATTTGTATTTGCGTGTGTATAAACAGTATGTAGAAACGACACACACACACGCACTCTTACACACACAATACATGTATCCAGCTAAACCAGACAAAGGAAGACAAACCATGAAACCACATACTGAGTCTTATTTATACACATTTATACACACATAGTAATATACACATATATATACACATATACTGTATATACACATTTATGTCTTTGTTTTTACCAAGACTATATCAAGTATATTTTTAGCCCAGATCTGTTGAATACATTGCCCCAATATTTTCCTGCACCAAGACACTTGTGTTAATCCATCCCACACACACATACACGTGCTCACTCTTACGTATATACATGCACGTATACACACACACTCATGGATAAACACATACACACACGTATGTATTCAATAATATACACATAACACTGACACCACACACACACGCACTCACATGTACACACACACAGACACACACACACACACACACACAAAGAGTATTCAGAAACCAAGTATCTGTATCACGCGCTCAAGCACTTACGATAAGAATTTAAGTGCTACAGTTGAACGAGGTTTTTACTGAAGAAAATTCTGAGGATGTGTCACCTGAAGTGGGTTCATTAATTT